GTGCTATTTGCTCCAACTAAAACTTCTTTGCAAGGAGAAGGCTCCTCCTTATCAGAAATGGATACATGAGAAAGCTGTAATAACACTATACCCTCTTACTACAATTTAGGAAAAACTCAGTCTTAACATGTACAAAACAGTATCTTTTTATTTTTTTAAAAGAGAGAGAGAGAGAATTTTTTAATATTTATTTTTTTTTTTTTTTTTTTTTTTTTTAGTTTTTCAGCGGACACAACATCTTTCTTTGTATGCGGGTCCTGAGGATCGAACCCGGGCCGCACATGCCAGGCGAGCGCGCCACCACTTGAGCCACATCCCCAGCCCCAACAGTATCTTTTTTTTTTATTATTTAATATTTTTAGATGTTGATGGACCTTTATTTTATTCATTTATTTATATGCGGTGCTGAGGGAATCCAGAGCCTCACACATGATAGGCACGTGCTCTACCACTGAGCCACAACCCCAGCTCCCAAAACAGTATCTTTTAGAACTTTGGAGCAGCTGTGTTCAGAGTGAGCAAGGACTTTACTTGAGGCAAAGTAGTAGCTTAAGAGTTGGTTAAGGGGCTGGGATGTGGCTCAAGCGGTAGCGCGTTCGCCTGGCATGCGTGCGGCCCGGGTTCGATCCTCAGCACCACATACAAACAAAGATGTTGTGTCTGCCAAATACTAAAAAATAAATATTGAAAAAATTCTCTCTCTCTAAAAAAAAAAAAAAAAAAAGAGTTGGTTAAAAAAACAATTTTCATTTTGGGTTAGAAGTAAGGAGAGGAAAGAGAACAAGATAGAGTAATTGAAGCATAGTAAATAATAGTGTTTAAAAATTACAATACAGGGGGCTGGGGTTGTGGCTCAGTGGTAGAGTACTTGCCTGGCATGTATGAGGCACTGGGCTCGATCCTCAGCACCACATAAAAATAATAAATAAAATAAAGTTATTTGTTAGAGTCTGTAAACAAGTCAAAATAACACCTGGCATTTTGCCAGGGGAATGTTAGCGTTCGTAAACAAGTCTGGATGGTGCCTGGTAAAATGCCAGAGGGAGTGGTTTGAGAAGTAACAAAAGTGAGCCATTAAGTGTGGAGATTCCTTATTGGTTGACTGATGTATCTAGTTTATGCTAATTAGATAAGTTGTGTGGAATGTATAAATACTGCTCCTGTCCTGCAATAAATGGCTCCTACTCCTGCTGTATCAATCTACACAAATTGTTTGTCACCCCCCGGTTATTTTGCTGCAGCTGGACTGCGGCAGTTATTTTAAAAATTACAACACTGGCTGATCATGATGGTACAAGCCTATAATCCCAGCAGCTTGAGGTAAGGATTGCAAGTTCAAGGCCAGCCTCAGCAATTTAGAAAGGCCCTAAAGAACTTCGTGAGACCCTATCTCAAAATTTCAAAATAAAAAATAAAAATGGTTGGGGACTTAACTCAGTGGTAAAGTGCCCCTGGGTTCAGTTCCCAGTATATGTGTGTGTGTGTGTATATATAAAATCACAACACCAACTTTGATCCGTAAATTGCACTCTTGTTTTCTGTGAGGTGGTAACATTAGTGAGGAGAAAAGAAAAAAAGAAAAATTTACATTGGAAGACCAAAACAAGGTACTTTTGCTCTCTCATTAGGTATTTTTTTGTGTTAAAGTCAGGCAAAATGTGAAAAATGTTCTGAATATCCAATAGCAATGCTCTTAATGTGAAATACTAAAACCCAACTCAATAATTAACAACAATAGATCAGTAATTAATAAGTCTCAATGTGCTGTAGGGGCAACTTTTTGACCCAGAAGAAAATTTTCAACTGGTTGCTGAAAACCAAAGGTTAATACAAAACTGCATACATTGATCCAGGGGTGGTGGCACATGCCTGCAATCCCAGAGATTGGGGACACTGAGGCTAATGGATCACAAGTTCAACACAAATCTCAACAATTTTGTGAGACCGTCAGCAACTTAAAGAGACCCAGTCTTGAAATAAAAAGAAAAAAGGACAGGGTATGTGGCTCAATGGTAAGTGCTCTTGGGTTTAACCCCCTGTACCAAACAAACAAACAAAATTACATACTCTGGTTTATCTTCACACATTAGCTTTACTGATATTTCAGACATTAATGCATTCTCAAAAGAAAAAAAAAAACAAAAAAACAACGCAGGTGCAGGGGTGCATGCCTATAATTCCAGCTACCTGGGAGGCTGAGGCAGGAGGATCGTAGTTCAAAGCCAGCCTCAGACCCTTAGCAAGGCCTCCAACAAGACCCTGTTTCAAAATAAAACATAAAAAAGGCTGGGATTGTGGCTCAGTGGTAGAGCACTTGCCTAGCATGTGTGAGGCACTGGGTTTGATTCTCAGCATCACAGATAAATTAATTAATTAATTAATTAATTAATATAAAGGCCCATTGGCAACTAAAAAAATAATTTAAAAAAAGGGGACCTGGGGATGTGGTTAAACATACCTGGGTTCAACCCCCTGGTACCTGACCCCCCCCAAAAAAAAAGTAAGAAAACAGAAATGTAAGAGCTGGGTGCAGTGGCACACACCTATAATTCCAGCAGCTCGGGAGGTTGAGACAGGAGGATCCAGAGTTCAAAGCCAGTCTTAGCAACAGTGAAGTACTAAGCAACTCATTGAGACCCTGTCTCTAAATAAAACAGAAAATAGGGCTGGGGGGCTGGGATTGTGGCTCAGCGATAGAGCGCTCGCCTAGCACAGGTGGGACCCGGGTTCGATCCTCAGCACCACATAAAAATAAAGGCATTGTGTTGTGTCCATCTACACCTAAAAAATAAATGTTAAAAAAAAAAAGAAAGAAAATAGGGCTGGGATGTGGCTCAGTGATTGAGTGCCCCTGAGTTCAATCATCGGTACCCACCCCCAAACAAAAGAAAGAAAGAAAAGGAATGTAAAAGAAACAGGCAATGTCAAAGAAAATATTAATTGGCTGTATTCATCCAACTCATTATTAAATGCTACGTAACTATTAAACAAAGGGCAAAGGCCTGTCCCGTTTCTGTATAGAATTAAGAACAAACAGGTAATACTACTTACATAGCTGCCAAATTTTTCTTTAGCTTCTTTTCTTACAGACATTATATTTCGCAATACTTTCCACTTTCCTTACATCTTCCATGTTTATATACAAATTGTTTGATTTTCTCAACTCTTGCTCTAAGATATTATGACAACTCTTTAGTTTCTGAGTTCAGATATGAAGGAAAAATTTTCACTTTCCTGAAATATTTCTATTTTATTTATGCCATTTAAAAAATATAGGGCTGGGGATGTAGCTTAGTGATAGAGTGCTTGCCTAGTGTGCACAACAAGGCCGTGGGTTCGATCCTCAGCACTACAAAAAAAATTAAAAATAAAATAAATATAAGCTAATTAAAACTAACCATTTAATAACTTCAAGAATGGGGCAGGGCATGTGGGCTCCCAGCAGGTCAGGAGGCTGAGGCAGGAGAACAGCAAGTTGGAGACCAGCCTCAGCAACTTAGCGAGGACATATGCAACTTAGTGAGGACATATGCAACTTAGTGAGACCCTGTCTCAAAATAAAAAATAAAAAGGGCTGGGGATGTGGCTCAGTGGTAAAGTACCGCTGGGTTCAATCCCCAGTACAAAAAAAAAAAAAGAATGAGTGGAGAAGCCACATTTAACAAAACAAAATTCAATTTAATATATCTGTGCTTAGACATCTGTGCTTAGAGATTGATGTTTCTATACAAATTATACTATTGTCAAATTTTAAAAATAGAAATCAAGTGAGCGTGCTGAGGAAAATCTGCACACAAACCTATCCTTAATACAACAGGACCTTCAGATATACTCAATTACCCCGTTAAGTAGAAAACAAACTTTTAAAGTTAGGCAAGTTGCAACGCGGAATCTGGGTAGGAGGTGCCCAGGGTAGTAAACACGGGAGTGAAGAGAACATAACAATTCAAAGCTACATACAAGTCCCTAAGGGGCTACTTAAGCCCCAAGCTCACATCTCTACTTTGGAAGTGATGAAGTTTGAGAAGGCCAATAGAGAGAGAAAGAAAATCTGAGTAAAGATGAGTATTCTATTTTCTTCTTCCCGACCCTTTCTCAGCATTCTTGCAGGCTGGTCACCAGTCTGGGTGCCATATCCACTAGAAGGCCTAAGTCAGCATCCCAGCCTCCTTCGCATACCTAGGCTGAAGACCTGTATATCAGCCGTCTTCTTTGCAAACATCTCCCTTATCCCTTTTCAACTCCCATACCATTCCCAAAGCAGCCTTCTGGAGACTCAACAGATCTCTACTGTCTTCCTAAACTCAATCACTTACATTTTCTCCCAATCCATATTTTCTCTCTGATATTTTTATTAATTCAGTAGAAATGCCATGACCCGCATTTCCAATTATCTACCCCTATTTTCCCAGTAAAATCCAATGCATGTTTTCACCTGATCAAAGGCCTTGTTCTCATCTACTTAATTCTACCTCTTGCCGGTTACCCCTGCCTTTTCCAATGCCAAGTCCCTAACCCCACTCTTTGGGAAGTCCTAGGTCTTCAATATAGTTGGCAGTTCTCTTTCTCTCACTTAACTATCCTTCCTTTAGGCTGTACTACACTACACTACCCTTAAGATTCAACTCCCCTCTCCTTGCCACGCCCTGTGCCCCCCGGGGTTACTTACCCCAAGTTCTCCCCACACTTCGGGCCTCTGGCCCCGCCTTCCCCCAAAAAGAAGGAGGCGGGAGGAGGGAGAGAAGCGGGGCGGCACTCCGTAAGGCAAAAGCGACCTCCCATTAGCGCTCACCGACGCCAATCGTGGCTTCCTTCTCTCTTATTGGCCTTCTTTAGTCTAAGCCCCACCCTCTTCCTCAGACAGGGCCCGGCCACCGCCTCAGCGCCCCCGTCCAGCACAGACTGGGAGGGGAGACCCCGGCCCGGGACGCTGTGGCTGGCCACAGTTGAAGGGGAGACTGCTCTCAGACCATGGACTAGCTAATATTAACAGGACTCACCCGCTGGTAGCTCCGTCGCCTCCCGCCCGCCCGCGCTCGGTCCCACAATCTGTTTCCAGCTCCTCCTTTTCCCCCCTCAGCGGAGCAGATACTTTCCTCCCGTCCGGCCAGGCGAGTTTACCTCTCGCGAGAAGTCGGGGTGGGGGGGGAGGGCGAGATTCGTGAGGGCTGAGTTGGAAAAGAGCTGAGGGGAGGGGCTTACTATGGGGAGGCCTTGGGTGGAAGGCTGAGCCAGACTGTATACACAGGTCACACGTGTTCGGCTGTAGAAGCCGGAGGGAAGAAAGGAAAAAGGAGGAAATAGTATCTTTACGGTATCTGTAGTGATGTAGATCCAAAAGATGAAGCAAACATTCTAAGGAATGAGATGATCTCACGGAGCACACTTTAAAACTAGATTACTGGCTGGGGCAGTAGCTCAGTGGCAGAGTGCTTGCCTAGCACGTGTGAGGCCCCGGGTTCGATCCCCGGCACCATATAAAATTAAATAAATAGAATAAAGGTGTCATGAAAAAAAAATTAGATTACTGGGCTGGGGATAAACTCGGTGGTAGAGAGTTTACCTGGCTTGCTCTGAGGGCTTGGGGTCAATCCCAGAAAGACTAGGAGTGGGGAAGAAACTGCTCTTAGTGTTGAAAGAAAGCCTCTTTGAGAAAGTAACATTTAAAGCAGAATTTGAATTATGAGACGGCCTTCAGAAGATTTTTGTGAAGGTGTAGTCTAGAAATCTAATGAGCCAGGAGGATTGCAAGTTTGAGGCCAGTCTCAGAATTTTAGTGAGACCCTAAGGAACTTAGTAAGACCCTGTCTCAAAAAATAAAAACAAAATAAAAGGTCTGGGGATGTAACTCAGAGGTAAAATACCCTTGGGTTCAATCGTCAGTACCGATAAAGAAAAAACAAACCTAATGAAAGAATGATGAGGGGCTGGGATTGTGGCTCAGCGGTAGAACACTCACCTAGCACTTGCGAGGCCCTGGGTTCAATCCTCAGCACCACATAAAAATAAATAAAATAAAGATATTGTGTCCAACTACAACTACAAAAAAAAAAAGTAAATATTAAGTGGAAAAAAGGAAAGAATGACGAACTACTAAACTAAAGACTATACTGGGGGGCTGGGGATGTGGCTCAAGTGGTAGCGCGCTCGCCTTTCATGCGCGAGGCACTGGGTTGGATCCTCAGCACCACATAAAAACAAAATAAAGATATTGTGTCCACCTAAAGCTAAAAAATAGACTCCATACTGGGGGAAAAAAAGACTAAACCTCAATAAAGCTATTAAAAACAGGCAAGGAAGGAACAAAGCAAGTTAAACAAGGGAATTCACGGTTTCAAACAGGTATTGAGTAGTTGTATTTTCTTCTTAATGGGAACAGTACCATCATTGTGGCCACAGTTTTCTACTATGTGTGTGACTGTATGGGGTGAGGAAATGAAAGAGGTGGTAGTAGGAGTTCAACTCCAGGAACTGTCTACATGTAAAAAATTGTTTGGGTCGTTTCTACTACCCTCCAGAGCCAGGCACTTCCTTAATAACACAGTAATATAAAATACCCTTAGCCCTAGAACTGGAGTGAATGCATTGGAAAAAGCATTCCACCTGTGCAGCGATCCCAGCTCTGCCATTTTACAAGTCCTATGGCCTGGGGTGAGATGCTTCTGTAAGACTGTACAATAAGGATAGAAATCCCATTTTGAGTTACTCCGAGTTGTAATGATCAAGTGAGATATATGAAAATGCTTGGCAATTTTTAAAAAGCATTATAGAGCCAAGGGTGTAGCTCTGGAATAGAGAGCTTGCCTACAATGTGTGATGCCCTGGGTTTAATACCCAACAGCACACACACATACAAATGAAAAAGCAATGCCTGGTGCAGTAGTACAGGCCAGTAATCCCAGCTACTCAGGAGGCTAAGGCAGGAGGATCACAAAGTCAAGGCCAATCTCAGCAATTTAGAAGACCCAGTCTCAATGAAAAAAATAAAGGCCCAGGGATGTAGTTCAGCGGTAGAGCACCCCTGGGTTTAATCGCCAGTACCTCAAAACAAAAAGCACTATATTATTCATCAAGTATTTTAACAAAACTTAACAGGACAGACTATGTGCAAAGTACTATTCTAGTCCTGTGGTGTAGAACAGACAGACCCAACCCTGTATTGGAATTTGTGTGTGTGTGTGTGTGTGTATGTATGTGTGAGTTGATGGGAGGTAGTTAATAGTTAATAATCCAAAACCACATCTATTTCAAAAAGTGAAGAGTGCTTCTGGGTAATGAGACAACGTAACTAGGAGTGAGGAAGAAACTATTCTTAGTGTTGAGAAACAGCCTTTTTGAGAAAGTACCATTTAAACCAGGGGCTGAATTATCAGGAAACACTCTTTAAAAGTTCTCTGAAGGAAACATCAAATGCAAAGACTGTATTCAAAAATTTATCATGAGCTATGCTTGGTGGCGCATGCCTATAATCCTAGCCACTCAGTGGGCTGAGGCAGGAGGATCAAAAGTTTAAAGGAAGATTGCATAGAGGCCTGCTCAGTAATTTGTCAAGGCCCTAAACAGCTTAGTGAGATCCTGTCTCAAAATAAAAAATGAATGGGGCTGTGGGTGTGGCTTAGTGCTTAAGTGCCCCTGAGTTCAATCCCCAGTATCTGCCTCCAAATTATGATGGTTAACATGGTAAATTTTATAATTAAAAACTTTTTAAAATTGATCAAATTGGGGGAAAATGAATTAAATATATATTTATATTATAATGTTATTTATATGTATGAATAGTACCTGGAACATAGGAAGATCTATAAATGTTAGCCTTTCTATGTCTAGAGTAATAGCCTATTCTAGTATGATTTGTAGCATCCCTTCTCCATTTGTAATGCCACCTCCATTACATACAAATTTTCCTCATAAGGAGAGTTGATTTAAAATATCACCCATGGAATCTCTATTCTGTTTGTCACTTTAGATTACTAAACTTTTTTAAAAATGTTTTTTGTAGTTGTAGATGGACACAGTACCTTTATTTTTTAATTGTTTATTTATATGTGGTGCTGAGGATTTAACCCAGGGCCTCAGATGTGCAAGGCAAGTGCTCTGCCACTGAGCCACAACCCCAGTCCCAGATTACTAAACTTTCTGAACTTCCTGTCTAGGATCTCATGTGTCCTCCCAGAACCTTCTGAGAGGAAGATTCTAGGTGATTCCTCCCTACATAGCAAATGTAAAACATGTCTAGAATCACATTCTTGAAACTTAAGAAAAGTTGAGAGGAGTTTGGGCTTCGAATCTACTCTCTTCTAAAACAGTTTCTACATAAACTGGGCATGATAGCACACGCCTGTAATCCCAGTGACTCAGGAGATTGAGGCAGGAGGATCCAAGTTTGAGGCCAGCCTCAGCAATTTAGTCAAAATAAATAAGGACTGGGAATGTAGCTCAGTGGTAAAGTGCCCCCGAGTTCAATCCCCAGTACTCATCCTGCAAAAATATTCCTGCATAAGAGAATGCAAGATAGAAGCCAACTTCCAATATATAAGGAAAATTTGTATGTAATGGAGGTGGCATTACAAATGGAGAAGGGATGCTACAAATCATAGGCTATTACTCTAGACATGGAATGGCTAACATTTATATGTCTTCCTATGTTCCAGGTACTATTCATACATATAAATAATATTATAAAATAAATATATATTTAATTAATTTCCCCCCAATTTTATATCCCCAGACCATATCCTCTGAACTGCAAATTATCTTCTCCAACTGCCCACTTCACAATCCACTTAGATGTCTAATAAGCATTTCAAACTTATGTCCAAACAGAATTCCTTCTTTCTCCCCAACATATGGCCTTTCCCCAGTCTTCCCCACTTAGTGTGTGTGTGTGTGTGTGTATTTGTTTCATTTCTACTTTTCAAAAATTTCATCTGTGTGTATGTGTGGTAACAGGGACACTACCACTGAGTTAAAACCCCAGCCTTTTTTTTTTTTTTTTTTTTGAGGCAGGATCTCACTAAGTTGCTTTGGGCCTCACTGAGTTGCTAAGGCTAGGTTTAATCTAGTGATCTTCCTGCCTCAGCCTCCCAAACTTCTAGGATTAAAGGCATGTGCCACCACACCTGGAAAGTTTTTAGTTTTGACAAAGTCCAATTTGTCTTCTTGTTTGTGCTAAGAAACATTGCCTAATCTAAGGGCATAAAGATTGACACCTATATATATTTTTAAGGGTTTTATACTTTTATCTCCTGCATTTAGGTCTTAGATCCATTTGAGATTAATTTTGCATATGGTGTTAGGTAGGGGTTCAGTTAAATTCTTTTGTAGGTGGATAACCAGTTGTCCTAGCATCATTTGTTAAACTATTCTTTCCCCCATTCAGTTTTCTTGGCACTCTTGTCAAAAATCAGTTGACCTTAAATACCTGAGTTTATTTCTGGACTGTCAATTCTATTCTATTGTTCTTATGTATCTGTCCTTATACCAATATCAAAAGGATTCATAAAGCCAGGAGTGGTGGCTTACACTCCTGTAATCCCAACAACTCAGGAGGGTGAAGCAAAAAGATTGCAAGTTTGAGACTAGTATCAGCAACCCAAAATTAAACTCGAAATCCTCCTGCCTCAGCCTCCCAAGCTTCTGGGATTACAGGTGTGTGCCACTGCACCTGGCTGAGTTTCACCGTCTTAATAATACCAGGCCTTGTCAATTTGTGAATATGGAATGTCTTTCCATTTATTTATGTCTTCTAAATGTCTTTCAATTGTGTTTTGCAGTTGCAAGTGCACAAATCATGAACTACTTTTGTTAAATTTATTTATAAGTATTTTTTTTCTTTTTGGTGCTATTGTAAATGGAATTGTTTTCTTAATTTCAGTTTCAGATTTTGTATTTCTTCTCAAGTCAGTTTCTGTCATTTGTATCTTTCTAGGAATTTTTGCATTTCATCTAATTTGTTTGCGTTTGGTTGTTTTTATTTTTGTGAGACTGATAGTAATATCCTCTTTTATTTCTGATTTTAGTAACTTGTGTTTTTATTTATTTATTTATTATTTTTTAGTTGGACACAATACCTTTATTTATTTATTTTTATGTGGTGCTGAGGATCGAACCCAGGGCCTCTCACTTGCTAGGTGAGAGC